TCGTTTCTGACACTGTGAAATCACTTACCTCTATCTGTTGAACGGTCAGATCTAGAAATGTGAGATCGTTTCTGACACTGTGAAATCACTTACCTCTATCTGTTGAACAGTCAGATCTAGAAATGTGAGATTGTTTCTGACACTGTGACATAATGTCTCTTACCTCTATTTGTTGAACAGTCAGATCTAGAAATGTGAGATCGTTTCTGACACTGTGACATCATGTCTCTTACCTCTATTTGTTGAACAGTCAGATCTAGAAATGTGAGATTGTTTCTGACACTGTGACATAATGTCTCTTACCTCTATCTGTTGAACAGTCAGATCTAGAAATGTGAGATCGTTTCTGACACTGTGAAATCACTTACCTCTATCTGTTGAACGGTCAGATCTAGAAATGTGAGATCGTTTCTGACACTGATGATGCTTTTGGGTCCTTTACATCCCATACTGGTTCCCAGCCCTCCGTTCAGCTTGATGACCACCAGTTTATTCAGTTGGTCTTTAATGGAGCTGGTCTCCGGAACTTTCAATTCATTGTACATTTTCACCTGTTTAATCAACATTCAAAAGATAAAATCAAAGAACTTGCATGATTAAAAATAAAAATATAAATGCTTTTTACTTTCTGTGCTTAAAGGCAAAAATAATTGATGCATATAATATTTCTTCATCTTATTAATCTCTTAATGCTTGAATTGATGTATATAACATAAAAAAAACTGTATATTTTAACTTCTTGTGCTTAAACAAAGACCTCAATAACAACTTCTGATTAATGTAAAGTCTTTTATCAAAAAAAATACCATTTTTTGGAGAAAAAATATGAGCTTGCTAAAATTAGCTATCAGAAACTTACAGCTTCTTGTGAAGCCAGTCTGATCTTCTCCCATTGGATGGCGTGTCCCGCCTCCTGTAAGTATCGCCCAAACAACTTCTCAAACTCGTCAAACTCCGCCCGAATTCTCTGTAAAAGGAAAAATAAAACTCATCAAACTCGGCTCGAATTCTCTGTATTAAAACAAAAACTCAAATCATCAAAATCGGCCCGAATTCTCTGTAAAATAAAAACTCAAAACTTTTCAAACGGTACCCTTCAGCCCAATTAATCTTGAAATTTTCAAACTACACAAAGCATTCACCACGGAGTTCACAAATAGAATACATGTACAAGAGTTTTGTATTCTTTATGAGACAAAAGAACATGTTCATCCAAAGGAAAAAGCAAAAATACAGTGTATTTCTAAATTTGTTCATCACTTGATATATCAAGCTTCGATCATCACTGATTTTTAACAAAAGGCAATACATGAATGATTTTGAATGAAAACTGATAAAAGATTACATGTGAATTAAATGGTATCTACATTGAACATCAAAAATATTTTCTTTTTCTTCTCTTTTTTTTGCCGAATCTGATCAATCTGAGGATACATACTGTTACAGTACATATTCTTAATCATGTTAATGACCCCCTGCACCTGATATTTTAATTCTTTGGGACAACCGTGACAATAAGACAATAGGAAAATTTTCCTATTCTCCTATTAAAATTCAGACTGTTGCTGCTCAGATTTAAGAATGGTCTCCCCTGAATAATATATGTACAAGTAAAATCTGTGCTTTACTTATCCTGTGTAACTGTTCCTTTATGAGTTGTTATACATTAAGGATGATCTCCCCTGATTTACTCACTTCCTGTAACCCAGGTGGCGCTGTCTGGATCAGCTTCTGCAGCTCCTTGTTCATGGCTTTCTGGGCATCCAGGCGGGTTCTCTCGATGAACTGGATATCACTTCCTGTCCTCCGATGCCCTCGCACAAATGCCGACTGGAAAAGGAAAGAGGAAGCCATAATGTATAGGCGGCCTATATATGTGGACCCTAGTTACATATCAAAAATGTACAGACAGCAGAGATATATATTTATGGCACGCCAAATTCACAAAAATGAGATAATCATAGTTTCACAATTGATAAACTAGGTTTATCGACTGTAAACTATAGTTTACAAACCGTAAACTATAGTTAACGATTCGTTAAGTATAGTTTTCATCTGTAAAACTATATTTAACGGTTGTTAACTATAGTTTACGAATGCTAATCTAAGTTTATCTGTCTGTAATAAGCGTTAACAATAGATTATGTTGATAAACATAGATTCACGTTTGTAAACTATAGTTTACAATCGTAAACTATAGTTAAGAGTTGTTAATCATAGTTTCACAAATTGTGAAACTATATTTATCAGATCGTTAACTATAGTTAACGGTTTGTAAACTATAGTTTACAAATTGTGAAACTGTATTTATCAGATAATCTATGTTTTGCAATCGCAAATGATTGTTTTCGGTGTTAAGTATAGTTTACGGTTGTGAAACATAGATTATCGCGTTAACTATGGTTTACAGATGTGAAATATAGATTAACGTTGTTAACTATAGTTTACGGTTTGTAAACTATAGTTTACAGTCGATAAACCTAGTTTATCAATTGTGAAACTATGATTATCTCATTTTTGTGAATTTGGCGTGCCATATATATTGCCTGCTCAGAATCATAGCTTCAGTAAAAACAATGCTAGACATTGCGAGTGTGCCTTATTCTACTATCAACGATTAGCTATGGGTCAAATTTTTTTCGTAGTCCAACTGAGTTGGAGCTTTGACTGTTATTTGTTTTTAATACATGTACTTCAGAATGTTGACATTTCTTTTACTTAAAATGTACAAGACCCTGTACTAAAATGTGTCAATTAAACAAAGCTGGTTTATCACATTAAAAAAATGCTAATTCTGTACTTCTTAATAAGATCAATTAACTTAACAAATAATATGTTTGTAAAATGTATACCAAGTCCAGAAAATCCATCCCAATTTAGCTCAGAAACACAATCTTAATTCAACAGACTATTAACAAATCCCATATAAATTTAACACTTCATACTAAATCAGCCGTACAGTACTTATTGGTAGAGCATGTCATTTTATCTCAGTTTCTCTATCTTTTCTCCAGCTGTTGTCCCAGAATTCCATTGTTTAGTATCATCCTTAAGATTAGACTGGATTTTGGAGACAGATATAATTTACACCTCTATAACTCATTCTATCATCTTAAATCAATGATGTACACGTGTGCCCTGGGTTTGTAAATACTGCTTTATAGATGGGAGACTTAATTGTTAATCTAAGAATTCACATCAATCAGCATTTCACAGGATTCACTGAAACACTTTAATTCACTAACAACGGGAACATGCATGCACATTCTTACAGGTATGCTGTGAAATCACTGTAATTTATGCAGTGTACAGGACATTCTAATTATCAGTACTTACAAGATTCTGCATTTTATTAACCATATACTATGAAATCACTTATTTTCATAGGGGTTTAATTTTCATTGTTTTCAAGGCCTGGAGAGATAGAGAGATCAGTCAATTTATGACCATCTTGAAGTGTAAAATTTCATATTATAAATGCATTAATTACTAATTTACTACAACAGTCAAACTAAATCCCCACAATCCAATATTATTTTTTTCCTCAATCCTCAAAAATTTTACCCCAAGAAAATATAAGAATTTTTACTGGTACAATAAGTGGAAATTGTAGTTAGTGTAATGCAAATTTTACCCTTGAAAATTGGTAAATTTGTAAAACATTAGGGAGAAGTAATTTTAGCAATTTTAAAATTATCACTTATAAGAAAATATTATATTAAATAAAATGCAATAAAAACACAGGGAGATAACAAACAAGTCCATAAACCATACAAAATAGGAGCAAAGCAAACGCAGACCTCCAAAACATCAGAGGTGGGATCGGGTGCCATGGAGGAGTGAGCATCCCCTGTCGACCGGTCACAATATCCAATTTTAGTAATTGCATCACCCTTGCTGAATATGCCAAAATTAAAACCTCCCTAAAAACTCTGCTTTCATGCTATCACCATCAGTACAGCCTGCATCATATGGCAATCTTAATGCAATATAATGCATGCATGAGAACGTCTATGTTATTCATAAAACAAAATCAAATATTTTAATACAATATTCCCTGAAGTAATTGAATGGTTTTTCAAAACAATGTACATGTTTAATTTATGACTTTGCAAAGTTCATTTAATGAATAAATTCCATTGCAAGTGAGTTATATTACTTAGAAGAATGAACTACAAACACTCAGTCAAAACAATTGATTCACAAGCAAACTCAATAAATATTTAGTTTATCACAATGGACCTAGGGATCCATCATGAAAGATAGTCTGCACTAAAACAAAAATCTCCAATTTACATGACCTAAAAAAACAAAACAAATGGAACTATATAGATAAAGGCCCAGTATACATGTATGAAATACTAGTTGACAAAAAATGTAAAGTTGAGCAATCAACTGAATGCACTGATAAAAACAGAACATATCTATTAGCTCCTTCATTGTCTAGTGCAAGGTTAGAATGACTAGTAAGACTTAGAACTGGAACTTTTTGATTTCTACACCAGGTTTTGGGGGTATACATATTTACTCACTATGTTCTGTGTAGCTGCCATGTCTCCTGTGGCCTAATTTCCCCTCAATTTACCTGTTCAGTACAAACCACTTATCATCTTACCTTGCTTACCTTGGGGATGTTTTATGTGAAGATAAGGCTATAAATATCACAAATAACAAAAAAGGCCTAAATAGCTCACCTTTCATTACACCACTGAAGTTTAATGAAAGTATAGTTAATATTTGTCCTCATGCAAAATAAATATTAAATGCACACTATAAAACTGCATGACCTTAGAAAGTGGAATAAAGAAAAAGAGGGGCATTTTAGCTAGCCTGATGATAATAAACAAATATAAACAAATCCATTTCTCACTTGGGGCACCAAAATTGAATCCAATGAAGATCTAGCATGCAAACTTGTGTTAATACAATTATACATGTACCACGATGTACACCAACAAAAATAACCAGGTGATTAGTGACAAAGGCAGAGGAAAAAATTTATGTGAAAAATATAAGGTCAGCACTTTATATATTACTACATGTATATGAGAAAATAGTATATTTATAACATTATGAGAATAATTTGAATAATATCCTTCCATTATATAATGTTTAATTATAATATGTCATTACTCTATTATAGCTACATCCATATAATAACTTAACAATCTAATGTAAGTGCCTTGAGAAATGAAAAAAAAAGTAGACTTACAAAGGCTTAACACATAAAAAAACTTACTTATTAACATATTTATTATCTAAACTCATAAGATCTACTTAGTTTTCTTAATTTTATTTCATCAATTCATTCCTTTATTGAGCCCAAAGACTTTTTACCTGCCACACATGGTGCCAGCTAGGTTCCATTTTTATCAGTGAAGATAACACTCATTTATAATATATAATTTCTTAAATCATTAATTACTTTGTGTTAGGATGATTTATGTAGTCTAAGATCTATACATGTATGAATATTTCATAACATTCTGAAAATAATAAAACATCGTTGACTACCATATTTATACAGGTGAGCTGTGTAGAACATATGACCATGATGACTGGCTAGATCATTACAATGAATTTCTCAGACTCTGTTGTAAAGATATCTTATTACACTGTGTACAGGTGAGCTATTCAGTATGTATGAATGGATCATTACATTCCCAAACTGCGTAGAAATTGATATATTTACAGAACACATAAATCCTGAATAAATCTTCAACTGAACCCCGGCAGGTAAAGTCAGCTCAAATATCATCTTCATTGATCATGTTGATATATACATATGAATTTTATCTTATTTTACTTTAAAGTTTTCTTTAATTAATAACTCCATCAGCAGGTTTTTCAATTTTCTAGGACAGTGTAGGACTTTTGAATGTAAGAAATAGCTCTGTCCATAACACAGATATTAGATAAAGAATTTTTTGCTATCAGAAAAAGTACCCCCTCCCAACACTCCTTATCAAATAAAGAACATTTAAGAGGCAGTCCACTGAAAATCAGGCAATGGGTGGCACATCGCATGTCATGGATTTTTATTATTTTTTGCATATAGGCTTATTTAAGCAAGTGTTTACACATGACAACATCAAAAAAAAAATTTAGTGCTCCACTAGTCCTATTTTTGGTAATTGCTCGATTTTAAGTGCAAAAAGGTCAACATGGGGTTAAAAAAAATTACTACGTTTTTATTTTGTTTTATATGTACCAGATACGCAAAACTTGGATGTGTCTATCAATATTATTTATACCATAGACTCTTATCTTTAATTTTAGTAATGAATAAGACTCCAATTTATATTTCTTTAGAAAAAAATATGTGGTCCAAAACTGAGTTTAGCAAGTAACTTTTTGAATTCATTATCCAATTTTCATTACGTTATAAAACCCAATACATTTCAATGACAGATTTTTTTCTCATGTTATTATGAATACAAAGTACAAACTTTTGAGTCACTCAATAAAATCAGTGGGCACCCTTATATTGAGAGAAATAAAAGGAGTCAAATTTACCTATGATTTACAATTTTTCACAATTAAACCGATCCCGACCGGAATTATATAAAGAAGGAAATACTATAATTGTAATGTTAAATTTGGCTCTTTTGTTGTAATATGGCCAAAAAAATTACTTGATATATTTTTGTACATGTCGTATGGGTGGCAGTTTTCTTTAGTTTTATAACTTTACACATTTTGCATTATTTTCAATCGGGATCGGTTTTATTTCAATCGGGATCGGTTTTTACCGTAAAACTAGAAATATTCTGCATTTAATGTATCAGAAAAAAATATGCTTGTCTTTTATTTCTGTTCAGTTAGTCAACTGTTTTAAAATAATTTTATCCATGGATTCAAATGTTTATACAATTTATTTAAAATACTAATGTCTTTTACGTACATGAAGATTACAATCATGTATAACATCTGTACGATTTCTTGATACTCGGTATTAAAAAACAAGTATTTGTACATGCATTATGCAACAACTGAGAGTAAACAGCTTATCTTTATTAAATATCTTATTTCCAACTAAAGTTTTTTTTAAAATTCTCTAGTGAATTAAAGAGTTCAATTCTATCATTGGCGAAAATATACTTGCACTACCTAAATGCAGAAAATATTAAAATGTGCACAGTCTCGACTTTATCCAAATTTTTTAAACCTGTCATCTATAAAAGCCGTTTCCCCTAAATTTTCATCTTATAAAATTTAATTTTATATTAATAAGAAAATAAGTTATTTCATACATAGTATTATGATTTAAGAGCCTAGAAATCGCAAGCAAAAAGCCGGGACGGGATGGGGGTGGGGGGGGGGGGGGGGGGGAAAGACGGCATATTAAAAAAAACTTTCATTAATGGGAAAACATTTTAGAATTGGCCAACATAGTCACATTTTTTAACTTCATATTGAATGGGAGTATGTGATTGTTTCAATCACCAAATTTAACCAACAAAAAACCCGAACAAAAACAATAAAAAACAAAAAATATGCCCACGAAATCTTCCGTTTTAGTGGCAAATTGAAATGGGGAGTTCAACAGTAATTTTCCTCAATTAATATTTTTTTAATAAAATATCTTTAATCGTACCGCGGATTGTTTACTTTGGTTTGACTGCATAGATAAATACACGTATATTCATTTTTTTTTGGTTTACAAATATCATGAAATAAACATTCTAACTCCGTTGACTTGAATTAAATGTTGCGTAAATCTAAAATATTCATCTCTCCTTGATAATCAGAAGAAAATAAAATATCTTCACATCCCAATTTTATAAGAAATATTCAATATAAACAATTAATTATTTGTACGCATAGCCTAGTAAATCAGTTTAAAAAATTAGTTCTCGGACATGTACAAAATTACTTATAGCTGAGACGTCGCCCGTGAAAAAAATACATTTTATATAAAAATATATGATTGTTTAACATGTAGGATAATGTACTCTGAAAAGTAATTGAACAGAAAAAGAGAAATTATTTATTTTTAATCGTTTTATTTGCGCTTTTATGCAAAGAAATTACAAACTTCTTTGGAAAACGTGTAACTATTTAATTGTGACGCAATATTAGTCAGGTGTATGACGTCACTGATACATCAATGGAAACGTGGATTCAACCTGAATAATACTGCCAATCTTAATCTAAATATTACGTTTGGAGGCGAAAATGAATTCTATTTTGAAAATAAAAAAGTAATTTTTTGTTAAATAATTTTAATTTGTGTATATATTCTAAATATTTCACTAAGATTTCGATAGTAAGGTGTTTAGCAGATTTACCGATGCCACGGGAGATAACTCTTACATCGCAAAATTTCATAAAAACGTCTCTGTATTTTGACAGAAAACTACTATCAAAAGTGTTTTGCCCACCAATTTTATTTTTGAAACTGAAAGACGAAATATTTCTAGATTTAGTTCAGCATGAATTATAGTCCTGTTAAATAAGTATTGGAAATTACAGTTCGTTGTTTCTGACCTAAATTCAATGGTTTATATAGCGGAATTCAAAAACACGAAACAAAAGGATATTTTACTAAATAAGCAATTTTAAAACAAATCTTCGATTACATTATTCCATTTGGACTACATTGATATTGTTTTCAATAAAATATCAAATATTCGTCACATTCGATGTGCCGCCTAATAATACAACCCTGCCTGGTTTTTCGGCGGACTACCTCTTAAGGTGTTTCGCTTCTGACGAAATTGAATTCACCGCGCAACTCAAACTGCCGGAAATTGGTCTGAATGTCGTTATAATAAAGAATTCAATACGGCAGAGAATTAATAGTTTCTACAAATAATTATTATCATCATCCATAGAAAGTTACATAAAAACGATTTTTTATGCCAGAAAACAAACATATACTAAGCATTTTACATTTCGCGGATGTGAACCGGATTACGATAATGTAAACAAAAAGCAGACGAGAAGTCAAGGTCTGCGCGGTAACTTTGGTTGAGATGGTGAAACCAAAGTACAGACGCCATGGGTTCGTCTCGAAAAAGCAGAAGGAGAGATATGATAAAGTATCTGCAGGGCAATTGACTCGATGGATTAGGGGAGCTATCCTTACAGACCACAATTACTCCGCCAGTGCAACCCCTGTCAGCGTTGATCACGATCACGGTTTGTACATGTAAAATACGTAATCTAAAAGACTCGTTTTCATATCTGCATCTAAATTACCATGATTACACATAGGTCTATTAGAAATGTTAAAGGGAGGTACATGAATTTGTTGATGTTCATTTTATATACCAGGTCCAATCTAAAGACTTTTTGAACTATGACTTCGTGTAGCTATTTAAAAAAAAATTATAATAGTTAAACATGTTAAAGATGTGCACCAAAAGAGAAGATATTGAATTTTTCTCAATATTTCATTGAAAAACAACATGACATAACTAAGACATTGAAAACTTGTTTTTATCAAGTATATAATTGAATTTTCAATGATATATTTCAATGATAAAAACAAGTTTTCATCTGATTGACAACAAAGTTTTAAAAAAATATTTTTTTTTGGGGGGGGGGGGGGGGGGGTATTTTATTGAAAACCACGTGGCCTATTGTAATCAAAGTGCAGCATGGAAATTTGAATCATATTTGATAATAATAAATTTAACTATACATGATGTCATATGTGGATTTCAATAAAATATATATATACTAAGCCTAGCTGTTACAAAAAAAAAATTACATTTGCTGATGTCTTACCTTACATGACAATACTAATCAAAGATAATTACTATATTTTATTTTAATACACTGCACGTGATGAAAGATATACTCATTTGACCCACAGGCCTTTAGATCACTTAGAAAAAAAATTGAGGGGTTTAAAAAGAAATAAAGGTATGGAACTCTTTTCATAGGGTACCTACTTTCCCCAATAAAATTCTTTTACATTGAATGCTTTACAAATTTACTGTTTATCCATATCTATCCATATATAAACAATCTTCATTCCTTCAAATTTCATTCCGTAATTCTTTATACTTATTAAGATATTAAGAAATCAATTCCGAAATTGACCTAAATTTTTTTAATTGACATCAGCTTGCCAATGGGCCCAACACTAATTGTTAAGCGGGAACGACAGGACAAATTTTCTCCAAAGTCTGTTCTAAACTCAATGAATATTTGCTCATTTGAATTTGAGATTTACATGATTTTTCTTTAATTGGATCATATGATCTTACTAAGTCACAAACAAAATGTTAGCGGTCTAGCTAGCCTAATTGTTTTGAAAATAGAAAGGTATATAATCTGACATGATAATGCAGTACAGGAAAAAATTGTTCAATCATATAGCTTCTTTTACATTCATAATCAAAATGGCAGTGTAGTTGTTGATCCAGATATTAACTTATTATTATTAATACAGACTACTTAACCTTACAATCTGGAGTAAGAAATCAACTTTAAAATGTTGAAAGATCTTGCAAATGCTATGCAACTCTTCGCTGCACCTCATACACCGTCTGTTTACATGTGAATGACCAGGTTCCAAGCAAATGTCGAGTAAAAGAATTTAGTAGATCATATTTCTATTGATTTCAGAATATCTTGAGAAATATCGGTATATGGAAAAATATTTTGTATATCGGCACAATGAATTATTTTGAAAACTGGTTCTTGGAATTTAGTAACTCACAGTTAGTGTTAAATCTAAAGCAAACTAGCATGGCGCGGCGCCATGCCGTTTTTTCTCGGCGCCATGCCCTTATTTCCTAACCAAAAATGAATAAATATGCCCAGTTGAGGCAATATTCCTTAGCTGCTCTGTTTATTCAGTGCACGCTGATAATCCCTTTGTTTATATCACGACAGGAAATCACTTCACGCTTGAACGCATGCACACAGCCACCTGGCTAATTAACATGCCTCAGGCTGTCAGGGTAGAGGATTTAACTTGAAAAACTGTCATTTGATTGCATTGATTATGCAAGAATTAGCCCAAGACCATAGATAAATTAACTTGTAAACTTTTAACTAATTAAAATCAGGATCGTTTTTAGACGGAGGCTGTCCTACAGCCTCCGGTTATAGGGATTGTCTTGCCCATGGAATGTAAACAGGAAAGATTTCCCAAGCACCATCTATCGGTGGAATTATTTGAATCGACTCTTAGTAACACCGACCGCAAGGTTAGGCATAGTCTAAAACAAAGATCGCGTCACATACAAGTATAAACAAACAGTTCTACTTTTTTTAAATAAACAGGATTTGTCTAATATTTTTAAAATGACGTGTATGTAAATACATTTCCTACGGAATATGTAACAAAGAATGTGATTTATACTGTTTATATTTTATCAGACAGAATATTAGGAGATTTTGTTCCAATAGACGACGATAAAGCGTGTTTTACAATATGCCGAGCCTTTTCCCACTGATTCTCGCACCAAAACAAGAACGAGAAGAAATGAAGTGGCGGATCTTGAGGGAGTTGGGGGGGGGGGGGTAACATCCGCGGAGAGTGATCGAGGAACCCCACTTATCAATTGCTTCTTTTATTAAAGTAAAAACTATCTCTAGTTATAGATAGATATAAGTTTAACTTTAGTTTTATATTTAATTGTAAAAACTTCCACCAGAATTCGCTTGTATCAAACTAAGTGTGGAGACGCAGATGTACTTGTATTATGTATTGAAGAAAATCCTTTAATGCCGCATGCAAATTTTTTATGTCGCACGTATAAATATAAGATATTTTAATAATAGATCAAGCATTTCAGTTTTAATGGAATTTTTTGTGCTTGATTTGTAATCTCATTTTCACTCCTTTTCTAATTTCTTCTTGAAAGGGCCGATAAATTGGTTTGCGGCCGATTTTTGACGCTTGCTTCAATAGGTTTTATGGAGTTTTTTTAATCTGAAAAGGATCGATGAATGAACAAATGCATAGTATTTTTATCTGTAGGAATATTAACAGTTTAATTTTGGATTCTTTATTTGTAATTATGTATAATCTTAGGAAACACATGAAAATAGATTTACACTTTTTACAAGCGGTTTGAGTGTTTGGGGTACCCTCACATTAGATTAAGAGAGAAACAAACGGCAACTCTGACATTGAGATCAAAATGCATTTGTAACTTTTGACCTTTGGGTACAACCCAAATCTTGGTTCATAGGATTTACATGATTTATCACATTATTTCCTAATTAATAATTAAAAATTATATCTTCTGAAATAATTAAGTTGTCTTATCATTGATCCTTATTTGCAGTTGATACTTGTGTTTTACCTCTTTCACATCTCAAACTTTAATTATTTTTTATATACAAGATTACATGTATTTCTGATCATTGGTATTCATGTCAACTATTTTTTTTTTTTTTTTTTTTTTTTTTTTACATTTTTTGGGTTAAATCTGTCATATGATGAAATACTATATTTAATAATTCCAGAAATATTGGTTGTCAAATTTGTCAAGATATATCTTTGTTATTGTAAGCAATACCCCAGTTCTCCAAAAACAATTTAAACTTGTGAAATAGCAAGTATTATGAACTTTATTGTTCTGTTTACTTTAAGTAAGAAAGTATATTTTATTCCACTCAAAAATTGTGTTCTGGAACGAACATTTATTGCATGTTAATGACTTTATATTATTTAAAGAAAATTCTGTGTTGCATAAAGCTAGGTCTCTCCATTTTGTATCACAAAGGTTTAAGACAAACTGTACTATATTATGTTGTTCATGTTACCTCATATTATAACATTATTACAATAAGGCCGAAAAATTTTGATCTTGGTAGCTGTTACATGTCATAATTATGTTAACAGTAGGTCTCTGTGACCTATAAAGAAGATATCTTGAAATATAGAAACTCCTGACTGGCTGAGGCCTATTGCTGAATCCAGAAATTCTGGAAAAGGGGGGCCAGTTTGAGGTCAGGGAAGGGGCCCACAGCCGCAATTAAAACACTCATTTATCAAATATTGTGTATTTTTTTTTGAGTCAAAAGGGAGGGGGCCAGAGGCCCCTTTTAATTCCGCCAGTGGGCTCATGACTAGAACATACTAGACCTGCATTCATCAAACCAGGCCTGGGGGCATACAACTTATATTAGACAAGCTCACCTTTGATCTCAGTCTCGCTTTTCCACTATATATTCTTTGAATGAGACTGGGATAAAAAGTTAGCCCGTCTAAGTTTTATGTTAACCAGGCCTAGTCAATTACTGTTTCTTACGTTGAAAGGTTTAATATTGAAAGTATCTCATCTAACATCTTCGCTAGCCAAGGGTTTCCGATCCGATACCTACTTTACAACCATTGGCAGATTTGGCCAAAAATTTTAGAACTCGCGCAAACGAATTTGATTGGCTGCGAAGTCCGAGTCTTCGCAAGGTTTTTACTAATCGACGATTATCGGCTGAATTAAAGTCTGTTCGTGTTTTATGCACAAAATAAAAGGAATATTTACAATGGATGAAAGTTAGGACGTGATCTATGCTTAAAAAACAAGGGGTTAATTAATTTTATTTTTTTCTTTTAATTATATATGTTTTCAAGAATTATTAAAATTACCACATAAGTCCGTGTTCCGCATTTTAGATGCATCAATTTAAGCCAATCAAATGTAACGGCTCATTGATAATAATTGATACGGCAACAAGTAGAAAGTAGCGTCAAACTCTTGACTAAAAATCCAAGAAGAACAATACTTTCTTCCACTTTTGAGGTGTGCCCACTGCCCACAGCTGTATGCATTCTCTATCCAGAGTTGTCGTTCCCGCTACGCTCCCACATACACCTCTGTCAACGCCTGTTTTACAAGATTCTTCGAAAAATTGTAAATGATTAAAAAATGTATTAATAGTCGTTTATAGTTATATTTCTTATCGGAAAACAATATTTATTTTAATTTGTAACACCTTAAAAGGATTTTTTAATTAAGATTTTAATTTTTACTCCGCAAAATAGTTCCCTTAAAACTTTGAAAATAAATCGTTTTGAGGGAATATATGTTTGAAATAAATGATGAATTATCATCTTTATCAATAATTACAACAATTACTTAATGTTTTAACTTAAGATTTTAACTATTTAAAATTTGTTCAAGAATCTTGTACAACGAGCGTTGACAGAGGTGTAGTGAGCGTAGCGGAAGACAACTCTGGTTAGAGAATGAGCTGTATGAAGTTATTTGGAATATATTCCACATGGAGGTCGCCATATTGTTTCAAACGTCATATTGATCTTCATATATTACAGCTATTTTCATCAGACAAATATTAAAGAGTTTCAAGGGACTTTACGGCGATATGCGGCGCAATCAAAGTTCCCGTTTGATAGGACTAAATCTGCCAAGGGTTGTAGAGCAGGTATCGGATCGGAATCCCTTGGCTAGCGAAGATGCTCATCTAAATAACAGTGAACTTTAATCATGGCGAAGTTTACATTACAAAGATGAAATTATAATATCCCAAAAACCTCATGAATATTGGGATATCCTTTGAAAAAATGTTGAATTGAAAAAAAAAACCACACACATTATTTCTCAAAATATTCTTTACAGCTATGTATGATATATATATTTTATATATATTTCTTTTGTGTTCTCTAATATATGAAGCCTCCGTCTAACAGTACTTTCAGTACTTTGATTTTAAACCGAAAGTAGAATAAAACACGTAGTTGAAGAAAAAACTGATATTTTATCTGAATAAAGTCAACTTACATTGTGCCAAAAACTGAATGTAATATGATAAAAAGGCTTAAAAACAACAAACTAAGTTAGTTTCTTTGAATAAACTGATAGATTTGACAAATTGAGGGTCAATGTTTCTAACTGAAGCCAGATTTTTTTTTAACAAATTTATTATATATATGGCATTCAATTTTTTGGGGGGTTAAGATCAGTTTTCACTTGATCATGTTGGTAGAGTATTTTCCAAGTAAAGAGAATGGTCTCTACATGTATTTTCCAAAATGCCCCTCCCCCCTTCCCTGGAAAAAAAGTATTTTTTTTTTCAATGTTTAAATTGACTGTACTAGTACACAAATAACACAGTCCAAGCAGGTAAAAAAAAAATCATACCTTCAAACTTTAATAATTTGTGCAGGTTTCAGCTAGATTCATACCTATTACTTTCTCTAGTGTAACCTTACTAATTTTTGGATTAAAGAAATTGGATGTTTTTATATTCTTTTTGTTCAACAATTGTTATGTCAGCCCAGGTGTGCTAATTGTGTTGGTATTTTTTTTAAAAGTGAATGGAATACAGATATATGAATTGATCTTTTAATTACTTGTTTAAATAAAGATTTCAATATGAAAGGATTTAAACGTAATTAAACATGTTAAAGTATGTAAAAATAAATGTTTATAATTTTAAAGACATTATCATGTGTTTAAAAAGTGCCCTCAAGATCTCCGGTCGCGCGCTTTTGATTCTTGGATTACCATGCCCTTTTTAGGGTCTAGATTTAACACTACACAGTGTATCTAAACAGTCAACTAGTCAGGATGTGTTACAGTAGAAAATAAAGAATGTGTAATGGTGATAATTTTTATTCATTATTCATAGAATTGCCAAATTTGAATATACTGGAAAGAGAGGAGGTGGTTGATGGGGAAGAAGTGACTACATCTGAGGATTGGAAGGAGGGGAGGAGAGTAGTAGAACTTGGAGTGTTAGCTGAGGGCTTGCGGGGATGTTGTAAATGTGGCTTACCATTACAACTTTCACACACTATTTCTGTGTTGACATATGGTTTAGCTTCTTTGTTAAAGGTATGAACTCAGCAATTTTTGCACAGTTTGTATAAAAACAACCTTGAAAGGTTTTTCCTTGAATTTTACTCCATATAAAACAGGCAGTATTCCATATATCCATATTTTTAGTTTTGAAAGATGTTACATTTTTTTCTTTGAAATAATTTGAAGTAATGCATATTTAAATTCTTTTTTCCCAAGCATTTGATTTCATTAATGGTGAATGAATTTAGAACAGTGACCTGTAATTAGGAATTCATTGATTTTACATAAACATTTCAGGTCTGTTGCAGCAATACAAAGTGTAATCATATTAACCATGTAAAAACAGGGAAAAAACATGGAAGAGTGTGGGATGTAAATACAAAGCTATCAGCAGGTAAGAAGTTTAACGTACACATCCCCTACATCAGTTACATGTATATTATTGTCAAGTCACAAGAGCCTGATTGAGTTTTACCTGTCTATTCCAATATAAGCAAGTTTGTTGTCCCCCTCAACAGCAACTTGGACGCACCTTGAGAAATTGTTGCTGTCGTGGGGGACAATAAACTTGCTTTTGTCCTCATAGCCAGTAAATAGGTATATGTATCTATAAATTGATATATATAATCAGTGGCAGACTTAATGGGGGGCACACCCGGCACAAACCCCTCCTGAAATTGTCAAAGTTAGCATAAAACATAGTTTTGTCAAGGAAATGTTTCTGATGTCTAATCGGTAGACCTCATTTTTACCCTACAAAACCTTTAGAATCCAAGAGCTTCTTTGTAGATCAATTCCATGCAGTTTTGTTGCCATTACCCCTAGGGGTTTAGTTTGTTAAAAGTATGGGTTCTATTTTTAATTTCTGGTAATAAAGAGAGAAAATAAATGAGACTAAGGTGAGTGTTGTATTTCACAAGCTTCTTGTTAAAAGTGATTAGATTGATTTCTTTTTTACATTTATGAATTTGTATTTACAGCAATTGTACATGTTGGTATTGGTGCAACCCAAGTCAACAGTCTCCTTTCTGAGCTTAATATACCACCTGTAAGCCATGCCATGCTGGACAAAAGACAGAAAGAGATAGGCAGAGCTGTTGAAGACATTGCTGCAGAGTCTATGTCTGATGCTTTGCAGAAGGAACTGGAAATGATGAATGAGTGTGTAAACAATATAAATTCAGTTTAAATCTCACTATTTAGCTCAAATGAGCCAAAGGCGCAATAGAGCTTTTCTGATCAGATCAATGGGTGTCCAGCATACATGTGTAGTGGGGCCATCCTTAAAAAAATTTCTTTTTGCGGTAACGCGCCTGATCATTTTAGGTGTGGGTAGGTAGGTAGGCTTATTATTTTTTTTTTTGAGACAAAAAGTCAGAATTAAATTACTGTTATATAGAGGTATTAACTATGTCTTAGATTTCACTTTAAGTTACTAATCAAACAAGAAAATTAAGGCATTCTTAATGAATCCAATCTTTTATTGTAACAGATCAAATATCAGAACACATCAGTTTTTTTTTTAAAAAACGGCGTCTACAGGTCAATGGGGACGTAAAAAAATGTCAATAGGATAAAATTAGAAAATGGTTATGTAAAAAAAAAAATTTTTTTGAACCCATCAAAAAAACCAGTAGGGTGGATTTTGGTGAGTCGGTCGCGTTACCACAAAAAAACAATTTTTTAAGGATGGCCTGGTCATATGGTATAACCTGTGTTGGTTAAGTCACAATTACTAACATGTATGTCACAAACATAACAACCCATTTAATTTTACATATAAGATACATGTATGTACTAATTGCATGCATTTTTGAAGGAAAAATTGTCTTATTAATAGTTATTTTCTTTACTTATTGATGGAGAATCAAATTATAAGGAATTAACTTCATAGTTATCCAAGTTATAATAGTGTAACCTGCTTTGAAATGAAAGCCTCGCTGTATAGAAAGCCAAAACTGGCACAACCCAGGATATACAGTATAACTTGGGTAGCTATTAAATTCATTCCTAGAATGAATTAAAAAAGGAAAAATTAAAAAATTTTAATTAGATTGGACAGAGACAGTGACTTCCTAGAGTATTGTGGCCCAAGCCCCAAGAGCCTTGTGTTTTAGTTTTGATCCCCAAATGAAAATCATAGGGAATACCTAATAATAATTGAAAGTGATCAAGTTAATAGAATCTGATATACTGATAAATATAAGGTTTAATCATGTACAGTATAATTTGTATTGATAAATATGCAGAATGTTATGCACATTAGGGGGTGTTCTAAAGAAGACAGGTTCACAGTTAATAACTGATGTCTGTTATTTATCTATTTTTCAGAGAGATGAACGAAAATGGACTAGTTGTTGCTGTAGATGCTGGATGGCAAAAACGGGGTAGCGGAAAGACATATGATAGTTTATCAGGTAAAAATACTGTAAAAGCACAAATATTCGGGGGGAAAATTCAACAAAATTAAATCCCACACGAAATTTTATATGACTATACATTGAATAGGGCTTTAAAAAAAAATATGTTTGTTTCCTGTAACATTAAAAAAAATTAAGGGTCGGTAGGTCTGGATTCTTTTTTTTCTTATGAATTGTCAAACATCCCTGGATTCAATATACCAGGTGTCATATCTACAGTTGACACCCAACATGGCATCCAAAATGGCTACCTAGCGGCAGAAAACGATCTTCAGAAAGTTGTAGGGGGAAATTGTTGTTATAATAATGATTACTCTTTATAACTAATCAAACTTAGATGTAAACTAAGTTGACATATTTTATGTCTCAAGTTAAGCTACAAGCTAATTTTCTTTTTTTAATAAATGGAATCAGCTGATTGATCAAACGAAGTTTTGCCATTTGTCAATAAAAAAAATCACCCGGGGGGTAATTTGAATGGGTAGGTCGGGTTACAGGAAACAAACATATTTTTTTTTAGACCTAGGGTTAGTTTTAAAACAACGACGAGATTATTTTTGATGTCAAAACAAAAAAATTTTATGCCCACAAAAATTTATGCTTCTCAGGGTTTTTTTTAGGGGTCGTAGGGGGGCTGTATAGGGCCCCATTCCCAATGGTAAAAAGTATGTGTTTTTCCCAATTTCATTGTAGAAAATTCCCTAAAGAGAATCGAAACAAACAAAATGATTAAAAAATGTTCAAACGCAAACGCAAACTCATAATGAGTCAAATCAAAATATTAAAATATTAGGTGATTTTACACAGTTAGCATATTCCCTAATCGCTCTATGGCACGCAACCAATTTTTAACGACAATTATTAGAAACATTATTTACCAAAGCATTGTCAATACTTAGAACACTTATTAGGGAGAGGGCTAAAATAGGCTGTGCCTGCTGCCCAATCCTATTCACAATAACATCTGTGAATAAAATATTGTTTAAATTAAATTTAAATTAACACTTAACTTCAAAGAAGTAGGAATTTGGTCCCTATTGCATCCTGCAAACACGTTTTAAAGCAACTGTTTACTTTTTTAAAGTTGAACGATTTGCATTATTTATACAGCACCCCTCATGAAAAATAAATATTTGACCTAATTATGCTATAGTGCACTGGACGCACAGGTTCATTGCTGACTAAAGGGGTTAAAGGTTATTACCAAATGCATACATGTAACATCAGTGATCGAGTTTGATTTTCCTTGCCAAAGTATTAAGACATACATTTTATTAAGTTAAGAAATGCATGAAAAATGCTTTAATAAAAACAACGAATACATCTATAAGTTATACAGTTTTTCTAATTTGTAATTTTTCAGGTCATTGTTCCATGGTTGGTCCTCTCTCCGACAAAGTATTGTCATACTCCCTGAGGTCTAAGAATTGCAGAGTATGCAGTGTAGCTGAATCAACCAACAAGAATCCAGCAGCCCATGAGTGCTCAAAGAATTGGGAGGGTAGTTCAAAGGCCATGGAGGCAGATATGGTTATTGAGATGGTCCAAGATCTACAGAAAAGTAAAGGAATAACCATTGATGGAATCATTGGAGATGAGGACTCTACCACTATTGCAAGACTGAAAGCTAATGTCAATGCTGATATTAAGAAGTTGTCTGATAAAAATCATCTAAAGAAACTGTTTACAAACTCTTTGTTTACCTTGAAGAAAAAACATTCAACTCTAACTTTGTCTGTGATAAAGTACATTCAGAAATGCTTCAGTTACTCCATAGCACAGGGAAAAGGAAATGCTTCTCAAATCAAAGAAGACCTTTCATCAATTCCATTACACATATTTGGAGATCACCAACACTGCTCCTCAAGGTGGTGCAACTTCATTAACAACCCTAACCTGAAGTACAAGTCACTTCCACATGGAAAACCCCTGAAAGATAGGTTCCTTCAGGATGATCTGAAAGAAGTCTTCAGTTCATATGCAAGTCATTCTGATCGTCTTTCATGCTTAGGAAGCACACAGTCGAATGAGAGTTTTCACAGAATGGTGTCTGCAAAAGCCCCAAAAACCCATCATTACAGCTCTTCTTCAAGCCTCAGATATAGAGTTGCTGCATGTGTAGCCCAGAAAAATGTTGGACACAAATATCTTGTAAAGGTTTGTAAATTTTTATTTTTTCATGCTTATTGTGTCATATTTGAGTTGAACCACTCAAGTTATCTCTTACATTTGAAAATTCTGCAAATTTTAATCAAAAGCAAATTGTATTGTATATGTATGTACATTGTAGTTGTACATAATAGATTCTTTTATCCTTATGACATATTCCATGTAAAATGCACAAAATGACTCCCACGAGGAGAAATTTTTCAAAATGTTAGTTTGGTTGATTTTTGCATTGAAAGTGATAATATGTACATCAAAAGAGAAAAATATGTAAAAATTAAAATTATGGACCCTTTTAATAACTAATTATTTTAATTTCAAAATGTTGTTGCAATTGTCACACTTTTTGACAGATTGTTTGACGGAAAATGTACGTGACATTATAAATTCAAAGAAATGCAAATTCCTAAATCATCTTTGATGATATTAACTTTAACATCATCCTATTCACTAACTGTGAAAATTATATAAATACATTTATATTTTTGTTTTAGTTTGCATCAACAGATTTCTTAAAACTGTTGTTTGTTTCTGTTGCTAGTGTCAATTTTTGACGGATATTCGTGAGGCTAATGTTGTTGTTTGACAGAAACACAATTTGCTACCTAGCACATTGATGGAACTGCAGAATGCTACTGTCAATTTTTGATGGAAAAACATATTGCTAATTGAAATTAGACAGACATATTGTTGCTAATATCAGTGTCTGACAGGCATTGTCCTTGTTTACTGTGCATCCATTTATAATGAAAGAGATTCTAGAGATTTTTATCCCTTTTGTCTATAGACAGACATGTATAAATAAATACATCAAAGAAAAAACACAAAATGGTGTCAAAGATATTTAATGATGAGGTGATTTAAAGTATAATTTCATTCATTCATTTCATTTCCTCTAAAGGTCTTCTCTGTCTCTTTGGTAAATCCTGTTGAAAGAAGTCATATATGATATTGAATCTATTTCACACTTGCCAGTTCTCAACTTTTGTCAAAAATTAATATCTGTGAAAAATTTCACCCAAGTTTACTATACTTAACAGCTTAATATCATTATCACTACCCCTATAGATACTTACGATAGTATACACGAGACCCTCTCATCTCCACAGATGGGACATCAATCGGCCTCAAAACATCTGAGGGGAGAAGTGTGTGGAGAATTGCCCCCTCCACCCAAAGTTTTACGGACTTTTTGAAGTCCATAAAATGAACATACGGCCAATAATCAACCTGTTCAAAAGCAAAGACATATTTTAACTATTTGTTTGATCCATTTACATGTACATGTACAGTATTAAATACTCCTATAGTTAAATGACATTTCAAGTTTCTTTTACTTATAAGCCTAATAAATAGAGTTCTGTGTATAAATGTGCATCTGCAAAAAAAAAAAACCCATTAAAAAATGAGTTCAATTAAAGCCTTCAAGTTAGTGAATTTTCAAACTAACTTTCATGAAACTCAATGAAACAAACTTTAAAAAACATTAATAATAAAAGGAAATTAGAATCCAATTTCAATTTCTGGACTTACAAGAATTATATTTGAACCATGTGATACAGCAATGAATGTCCCTGAAGAGTAGCTTTAAAAAATTGCAAGGCAAGAACATGATAAAAACCATCCATGTATTATTCATTTCTAATTTGGGCATGTAACATGAGATCAAAACTTTTAAAGATATACCTTTGATTCTGGATCTGTGGGTCAACACTGGACACTGAAAATGGACTACCAGGAAGTAGTGGAGACAAGTCCTGTGCTTGCAACTGGTCTACTGGAAAGCTGAAGAAATGTTGCATTAATTAAAGCTTTAAAGTTACCTGTGTACACTTTCTTTTTACTAAAATTTACACGCTTTAGTTTCCATTATATCAAGTACCATACAAATACTGTATAAATTGCAATATACAGTATATATTCACCTCTCAGTCGGACCAGTTTCATCACGTTTGGTTAGTTCACATAGAATGCCTGGAAATATCCTTTAATATAAATTACATCTAGTTAGCTCTAAGGCACAGAGATGTAAAGCAACTTTAACTTGATTCAACAATATATAGAATTACTTCACTGCTGCCATAATAAATATGTGTTACATGTACTCACCTCTCAGGTGAGTCAGAAACATCAACTGCAGATTGTTGATCTCTGGGGAAAGCCTTTTAACATAAATTATAACTAGTTAGCTGTTTTTAAGCATACGGCATACATGTACATAGAAGTTGTTAATTATCTTTGTCAACTTTGTACAACATTGATTTGCAACATCGCTGGTCGCTGTCATTCTAAATGTATCAATGATCCCTATGATGTTAGGTTCAAAATTTACCTAATGAAATACAAATGATATTTATTTTCAAATAAAGTGATAAGTAATGAATATAATATCAAACCAATGTATATGTGGTTGAGCCCCCCCCCCCCCCCCCCCCCGTTTCATATGTTTCTAACAAAGTTAGTAAAATATAAAGTTTAAGCTAACCCAACCCATGTTTTATTCGAATATATTGGTTTGATATCATAATTCCTCCATTTATTACCAGTGTTGACACCATGAGAATAAACACTGCTCAAATTCTAATGCATATCGATTATAAGTGATTTCAATTCAACAGTTCAATAGTTACAGGTAAATTTATTAAATTTTTTCTGTTCAACTTTATAGAAAATAAAAAAGTCCGTCAAATGTGTGACATTCGCAAATTAAAAGCCGTCAAAAACTGACGTTAGCAGAAGTCATCCTCTGTAACTTGCATGTATTGATGTAAATGGCGCCGATTTTTTTATTATGGTTGCAAAGAATGCATTAGAAAGTTATTCAGTTGAAAAAACTCTAAGAAAACGTAGCTTAATTAAAACGCAAAACGGTCATTTAAATTGCTAGCGTCACAACGTAGCTAACGTCATATATTTTGACAGACTATATATTCTTTGAAGTTCACATGCGCAAATCGTTGCTACTTCTTGCAAGCCATTATTGAACCGGAAACGGTGAAGAAATCGCCTTCTTTCAACGAGAGTTGTTTTGATAACAAAGAGCTGCAACTCGTACGATCGAAGAAGTAAAGTTTATGCGAACGTCACATTGCAGCAAAAAGAGTTTGACAGAATGACGATAGCATTTACATTATCACGCTTTTATTCATGAATTGTTTTCTGAATTAGTTTAAATGAAGTGATATGTATAGAAAATGATATCTACATACATTATATTCTTTCTAGAACTTTAAAATTTACCTGTATACTTAAATTTTCTACACTTGATCTAACGTCATAACATTTGACAGATGCCAACAAAAAAAATTGCATTTTTTAATCTAAAAGTTTTTGACATACATTTCAGAATCAAGATCGCAATTTTTGTTTAAAATAACATTAACTATACATACCATTATTACAAAAGGACTTCTTCCATGTTTTCTTCTCTCAAAATGAAATATTGATCGATAAACCCAGGTACAACAAACACGGGAGTTGATTCCGTCAAAATTCAATCAGTTTAGAAATTTCATGATTCAATTTCAGATTAAAATCTTCAAATTTCCGCCGATGTTTTTAATTTTATAATTAAATCTATGTAATTAAAATGTAATTAAAAATACAAGAAATTGTTTTCAAGTATATTTATTGTAAAAACTTTGTTAAAAAAATTGACGGACATTTTTGCTAATTTCGTGGAATATGTCTTATTAAAGGTTAACAAGAAATTGGGCCTCTCTCCTGGCTACTATACTCGACGACAGTGCATTCTGAGGGATTTACAAAGAAAGCGACAGAAGGCCATTTCAGTGACACAAAAATTTAAAAGGAGAAGGAGAGAATTGAAAGCCAGGAAGTACGTACTAGTATACTTTGATTGTCATTTGTCAGGTGTAAAAAACCTTTTGACAACCTCAAAAATGAAAATAAACCCAAGAACAAGTGAATGATGATAAGTATGAATTTAAGTGGGAATTAATATCTTGCATGTTACTAAGATTTGTTTTCTGAATCACCAAAGATTTACGGTATGCTTGTATAAATAGCATGGTTTGATAAATATTTTTTTCAAAGAAGGGAGGGCATATTGCTTTGCTGCAATCTTAAAATAAAAATTTTACCTACCTACATACCCAGTTTTTTAGCTCACCTTAGCGGAAAGCTCAAGTGAGCTTTACTGATAAAAATGTATCTGTTGTCATTACCTTTTCACATTTTCATCTTCCTCTCAAGAACAACTAGGCCAATTTCAACCAAACTTGCTACAAAGTTAGTATCCACTGGGCCAGGTAAGATGAAACTCATATGGAATCATCTTCAGGTAGTGTAGATTCAAGTTTGTTCAAATCTTGACCCTGGGGGATAGGGTGGGACCACATAGCCAATCAAAGTTTTACACAGGAATATATAGAGAATTTGAAATCTTTAAAAATCTTCTTCTCAAGGACTGCAAAGCCATGATAAGTGATATTGATATGAAGTCATCCACAGGTAGTGTAGATTCTAGATTGTTTAAATAATGACTCCCAGGGATAGGGCGGGGCCACAATTGCATTTTACAGTACAATATATTTTTTAAAAAATTCTCAAGAATAGCAAAGCTATGATTGGTGATATTAATATGGAAGCATCCTCAGGTAAAGTAGAATTAATTTTTTTTTTCAAATCATACATGGTGGATCAAAGTTTTACATAGGAAAATAAAGGAAAAAAATCCCCCCCCCCCCCCACCCCCGAAAAAAAAGAGAAGCTATGTTTAGCTCTTTCCTTGCCGATGTGCTCAGGATTTTCATTTATTTACAACTCCTAATTCATTAGCTGTACATTAGGTGATTGTTTATTTTGCTAGGCCTTTAGTAAGACCTCAGTTTAGAATCATTTGTTTTACAGTATACATCTTCTTTACAGAATTCAAAGTATTTCTACAAAAGAAACAAGGGAAGGCATCAGTTATTTAACAGGATGTGATCTCCAGCAGGCCTCTGACATCGTTGAAATTCCAGCTCCAAAAACAATTCCAAAGTATGATCATCTCCCTTCAAGTCAGCTGTTAAATGCTGAAGAGATCTATTTTGATTTGGAAACTACTGGACTCGGTAAGAACCTAGATTTAAATGTTAAGTCAATGCTGATGGTTATGGCCCTCTTCCGGTATTTTTTTGTATGCATTTTGAAATAATAATACTAGAGTTATCATAGAAAACAAATAGAAATGGAGACTCTTGCATAATTCCAGTATTGGTACAAGTAGTTGAGCATGTTTTATATCTTTCAAAACTTTACCCTTCCTTCTGAGGACACTGATTAAAAAGAAATTGCATATTCTGAAAGAATTCAAGCATCTTTGAAGGAGTTAAGTCTTGGGGAAGAGGGTTACTATTATTATAATGTTTCAAAATTTTTTAAATCATTCATACTGTAAACGGATTACATTTGGCTGTGTATTCTAATAGCGGATTTGGCTAAACGCTGCAACCGCTAAATCAAGTACAACGCTAAATGTCTTGCACATATACACATTAAGAAGAAAATGAAGAAATGCACTAAATCAAAAATATGCTTATTTTTTTCAAAAGTCAATTTCTTCCAAATATCATACATGCTAAATATAATACATTTACAATATATCAATTTTTGTATGTATTTTTTTTTAATGCTTTTAATTTTAAAAACTTGAATTTACTTAAGGAATGAATTAAATAGCAACCCAAATTATACTGTATTACCTGGGTTGGGGCAGTTTACGCTTTCTAAACCTCAAATCGGTTTATAAAAAAGCGTAAACTGCTCCAACCCAGGTTGTAGCAGTACAATTTGGGTTGCCATGTAATTCACTCCTTATGATTTAATTTTCAATCATCAAGAATATAAAACAAGACAGATTTTCTCTTTATAATGCCTTCAAATAGTTCATATTTTAAACGTAACGTCAAGCGGATTGATACAATTTGTTGTAAGTCATTGTGACGTAAGCAAACCAGATTATACAATTTACATTAATTTTTTATCCAATCAAATGATGCGTTACAATCAAAATTAAATTATTTGTTTTTTATTTTTAGCAAGGGATTCTCATATTGTGCAGTTGTCTGCAGTTAGAAATGATGAGGTTTTCAACAAATACATCATTCCAGAAAAACCAATGTCCTCAAAAGCTACAGAAATTACTGGAATAAAAGTAGTCAACAATAAAATGTACCACAATGATGAGGAAGTTGAGACAGTCAGCATTAAGGATGCACTGATCCAGTTTATCGACTTCATAAAGAAATCGGAGTCAGATGCTGTTCTAGTTGGACACAACTCCAAAGTGTTTGACCTTCCTGTGCTGTTCAACATTTTGAGTAAATTAAACATTTTGGAGGCATTCTCATCTGCAGTCATTGGTTTCATTGATACCTTACCTCTTTTCAAAATTTCGCATCCAAACTTTTCATCATACTCACAGTTACACCTCTTCGAAGAAATTCTACAAGACAAATACAGTGCGCATGACTCATTACAGGATGTCTTAGCCTTGAAGAGATTGTTGGACCATACAGGACCTTCCCCTGAAGTCAAACTTGCTGCATCTTTCACTTCAAACTCTGCCTTTGCCATATTCCATCACAAGAACACAACAAAAAGTCTAATGAGCACACTAAAGCCTTTATTGGACCAAAAGGTGATTTCGAATGGAATGGGAAATAAGATTGCCAGCAGTGGACTCTCTTTATCACACTTACAACTGGCTTATCGCAGAAATGGTAGGGAGGGAGTACAGGATGTGCTGACAGAGATAACAGATAACAGTGTGCGTGTGACAAAATCTAGAAAAATCATTGATTCTGTTGCAGATTTTCTCAGATCTGAGCAGTAACGCAGTTGTATGATGTTCTTTGTATGTAACTATATTATTGTTTGTTTGGTTGTTTGTTTGTTTGTTTGTTTGTTTGTTTGATTTCTGTGAGCCAGTGCTCACTAGTAATACCCTCAATCTGATGTGAATATGGACAGACAGGAATAAACCAAGTTAATTGACAATGGATTCGTACAAAAATGAATCTAACCATATTACATGTCTAAAAAATTTCAAGCATCTGTGATGAGTAGTTGTGGAGAAAACTGTGACAAAAATTTATTATTTGTGGTACAGACAGATGCACAGATAAACAGGAAGTTGACATCAGATTTGTCTAAAACCAATTCCAACTGTGATGAGTAGTTGTGGAGAAAACTGTGACAAAAATTTATTATTTGTGGTACAGACAGATGCACAGATAAACAGGAAGTTGACATCAGATTTGTCTAAAACCAATTTCAACTGTGATGAGTAGTTGTGGAGAAAACTGTGACAAAAATTTACTATTTGTGGTACAGACAGATGCACAGATACTCAGGAAGTTGACATCAGATTCGTCTAAAACCAATTCCAAATGTGATGAGTAGTTTTGGAGAAAACTGTGACAAAAATTTACTATTTGTGGTACAGACAGATGCACAGATAAACAGGAAGTTGACATCAGATTCGTCTAAAACGAATTCCAACATACGGCATGTCTAAAGAAAGAGTGTGCTAAAACTTAAAGCATCTGTGATGAGCAATTGAGCATGATGAGTGATTGCTGAAAAAATTGGACAAAAATTTGTTACTGACAGAAAGACACACAAGTGTAGAAAGAAAAACAGTATAAACCCTGTGCTTCAGAGCAGGGGTATAATTATGCCATGTACTATTGTTTTTTTCAATGTTTATTGTTATAGGTAGTTTGTATTTGAACAAAACATTTTCTTTCCATTCAAAATAAATCCTTATTTAGAAATTGACAACAATTTATTTTCATTACCCATATTTTGAGCATACCTGAAAAATTAAAAGGTGTTCTTTGATATTTATTGAAGAAGACCATGTGCATATTAAATTGAAACATGCACAAATGAATATGAATGGACATTCTGTAAATGTTTAATATTGTGTATGACCTATACTTGGCAGTAATCTATTTTCAACAATCGGGCTAGGTTTGATTTCTAGCAAAAGTTTTGTTGTGTACTTATAAATACGCAGGTCATAAAGTTAGCGATGTTCTTGATATAGCAACAGCAGTTTTCTGTCAAAGGCACAAAAAATCTAATGTTTACAGTATATAAAAATGTTGTATGTTACTTGTAAAGGTAACAATTTGATAGATCTCTATCACAAGAAACATGGATCTGAATAAACTTCAATAAAGTTAAATAGTTGATCATTTTTCATCTTGAATAAAGAAAATTTTGTTTGATACAATGAAATCAAGAGAAATTAACATTGCATGACGCAAATTAAACTAGCTGTTATTGGTACAACTAGTAGTTCAAAACATTCATTTAGTCTTTTTTTTTATTCCCTTCATTTTCAATAACTGGAAATTTGCTGTGAAACGTTTATAGTGAAATGATTACTATGTGGTGGTTTTTAGCTCACCTGACACGGAAGCCCGAGTGAGCTTTTCTGATCAAAGATTGTCTGGCAATCGGTCTTTTGTCTGGGGTGTGTAAAGTTTGATATATTTTATTTCTTTGAAAGACCAACTGGCCCAACTTCAATTAAGGGGATTTAACTTTGTTCATAGGAAGTGTCTCGCCCTGTTGAAGTGGGGGGGTAATTAAGAATTTTGGTGGCATTATTCAAAAATCTTCTGAAGAACCACTGAAGAAAAGATGACATTTGCATTGCATACCCTATATTCAATACTTCTTGGGGGAAGGATGGGCCACAAGTGGAGCAAAGTATGCATAGAAAAATATTTGAAATGTCTGTAAAATTCTCTCAACTCAGAACAGGCAAAGCCATGATTAGTCAAACTATTAAAGAATTATCCTCAGGTAATGTGAGTGGGCATGAAAATAGATATTAACCACCCCCCCCCCCCCCCCACCATCCCCTCTTTCCCCTAAGTCTTAAATAGTCCCCCCAAAAAATGAAATGTCCCTTTTCTTTTAAAGAAAAAGATTGAGTTTCAATACACTTATTCATTTAGGCAAATAGAAAATCCCCCAAAATCATGGAAGAAGCAAACAGAATCAATCCGAATTTCCTCTGGTCAAAATTTGAGAAAAATGGGTCAGAGGAAATTCATGTTAAAATATCTTTAAAAGTAACTCATATTGATATACAATTTTTTACACCATTTTTAAGCACTTTATCTTAGTAACAAATGTATAGAAAAAAAAATACTTTTTAATTATTTCTAATTTATTTTCCAAGCTCATTTTATAAGCCCTGTGAAATGAAAAAAGGGCATTTTTTAGTATGAGGGTGTGTCCTTTTTGATAAGAATTAAATTTTATCTTCTATCAATTATCATTTTTATTTTATCAATATTTATATTCCCTATGACTACTTTTAAAAGATAGCAAAAGGTTGGAATGATTTGAAAACATTTCATTGTTTAAAATAAATATTAAATATGTTGAACACAAATTTGGTCTTTTTCTTTACTAAAATGAAAGAATTACCTCCCTTTGTCAGGAACACCTATAGCTTGAAAATTAAATCATATTCATATGCATTTTTCTGGCTTAAAATAATTTATTATGTTTATTCTTACAATTAAAAAAGAAAAAAATCATTTTCAATTATTTTTAATGTCAGAAGCCAAACACCTTAAGGTAAGGCCATCCTTCTCCTGAATAATAAGTGTTGGAATATTGGAGAAGTACTGGTGAGAATTTTTCAAGAATATCTCTGACGATAAACGCTTACTATATGTCAGAGAAAATACAGGAATGAAAAAATATTGTTTCCTCAACTTTCCTGCAGGTTAAAAAAGTTAGGGCATTTTCGATTGGTCAGTCAGAAGAGGGCAATTTTTAAAGATGGTATAATTAAGGGAGTGTTTTGTATGTGCAAAAAAAAAAAACAATATAATACTGTATCAACTTCTTGTAGTCCACTTATGATCCAATCTTTCAGACATGTTAAGGACGGGGGTTTATGACTGATAAATACGTATTACTTAGAGGAAAACGTCAAACATTATCTCCTTAATTAAAGGAACAAGGAAGAGAATTGTTCATTTCAATGGATATTTCTTTGTCATCTTTATCAATAAGACCTAATCCCATTTCTTAAGTTTTCAAGCACTTATCTAACAAAAGGAAGAGATATATCATGTATATAGATATATATAATATACTTCTCAATTTTGTATTTATAAATTCAGCTGCATTACTAATTAATTGAGAATTTTAACAGTTCAGATTTTTCATTAGTATATAATTATATTTATCATAATGATGAATTGATCATCAATCCATACACACATGACATCAGAACCAGGGAGCTGGGGGGTACCGTCCCTCCAACTTTTTTGCAAAGATAGACATATTATAGTACTATTATTAATTGAAAATTTGGGCTTAGTCCCAATTTTTTTGTTAGTTTCGCCCCTACTCCACCCCTTTCAATTTGCTTCAGACACTTTTGCATATTGATTTGACTATAAGGTTGTTTTTATATTTCTTTGGATTCATAAATTCTATATATTAATCATGATAATATCCAAGATAATTAGAATTGGATTGCACACTTAAAACATAAGTATAAAAAGTGAATTTGTTTGTCAAATTGTCATTGTGTGTTTTGTTTGTTTTTGTGGGTTTGTTCAAGAAGCTAAAGTAGGCATTTATTTTGTTTAAATTTGCATCATTTAGAAACAGAAATTCTGTTACTTTTCAGGGTTCGACATTAACGTTAGTCCGTTAGTCTCAGACATTCGGACCAATAAAATTTGTGGCCAATCAGTCCGAACGGACTGATAATTTTTTCTGGAAAAAAAATAAATTATTTACCGATTTTCAATATTCTTGATAACTTTCAATTGAAAACCCCGTTTGTATTTTTAGCTTTCTAGGCTTTTGGCTGGAAATTAGGTGATTCTGAGTCAATCGGCGCTTAATTTTAGGACTCATTGGTATGAAATTAAACATTTTAGCGACCAAGATTTAGTATGACCATAAGAAAGATGTCGGATGTTTGGATGATGTAACTAGTAAAGAGAAAAATGAATGAGAATAGGAGTACAATCGTAGTTCCTGATAGCCAGATTTCAAGGAATTTTTTAATAAAACATTTTACGTAAATGCTTTGTTTACTTTTTTAAAATAAAGTATAAAAAGAACAGTGCAATGTTTATTCTATTTATTTATTTTGACGGACTCATAAAATCATGCATGGACTAGTTAAAGTAAGGAAGCATTAGTCCGGCCGGACTAAAGCCTAAAAATGTTAGTGTCGAACCCTGCTTTTATGTCATTAACACATTTTCATTAAATTACTTGATTGGTGCCTCAGTGGGGTTTTCCCTCAGTGCCCCCCCCCCTCAAGCTTGCTCATTCTGGCATTTTTCTTACTTACGCGTTTTTAGAAAATATTTTTTTTTAATTAATAAACAACTTTGAAACATAATTTATTTTGAGGTATCAATTTCTTGTTACAGATTCATTAATTTTATCTTGTTTTGTTTCAATTTGTGAGTTAACTTAGAAAAAAAATCCCAATGCAACCAAAAGTAAACGAGTTTAGTCTTCCTTCTCGAACATTGAAGTGTTATAATACTCAACATTTTTTATTGAGCATAAAGAGAAAATTATATCATAATGTAAGAATGATTTAATTTTTAGAAACTTATACAGTACAATCATTTGTTGATTTTATGTAAATCTATTGCAACTAATAAAATATCTAGTTGCCTAAAATAAGTCCTATTTTTGTGTTTTGATACCCCCCCCCCCCCCCTTTTCACTGCAATAAAGGCTACCTCCGATTTTCTTTTCATTTTTTAAAAGAGGGATATGAAAAAATCCAGTCAAAGTGCCCCCCTAATAAAAACCGTCCCGTCAAAGTGTCCCTTGATTTTGGTCAAAATGTCCCCTGGTTTTGGTAAAAATTCCCCCCGATTTTGGTCAAAGCACCCCTTGTAGAACTTTACAGTAAAATGATGTTACAAAACCGCCCCTATATATTGGTCAAAGCGTCCCCTGATTTTAGTCAACGCGCCCCCTGATTTTGGTCAAAGGGCCCCCTTACATTTTTTTCTTAGAAAAAATCGTCTGGGAACCGTCCCCAAGCAATGGTCAAAACATCCCTGATTTTGGTCAATGCGCCCCCTTATATATTTTGACAAACATGCTACGGAATAAAACTGTTTTGTATCTATAATATTATCATTGTTTAGCAGTTACCTGAAAAAAATTCTATAAGGGGGTACTTTGACCAAAATCAGAGAACATTTTAAACACTGCCTTGGGATCGACTCGAACCTTTTCTTTTCCGCTGTAAAAATATATTAGAGGGCGCTTTGACCAAAACCAGGGGACGCTTTGACCATTTCTTGAGGACAGTAAAGATTTGTTTATATAAAATATAAAAATATGTTAGGGGGCACTTTGACCAAAATTTTGGGGCGCGCTGACTAAAATCAGGGGACGCATTGATCAATATTTGGGGGCGTTATTTTTTCTATAAAAATATGTTAGGGGGCGCTTTGACCAAAATTATGGGGAGCTTTGACTAAAATTATGGGACGCTTTGACCAATATTTGGGGGCAGTATTTTTTCTATCAAAATATGTTAGGGGGCTCTTTAACTAAAATCAGGGGATGTTTTGACTAAAATTATGGGACGCTTTGACTGGGACATTTTTATTAGGTTCCATGTTCGTTCGCCCTAAAAATTGTTCGCCCGATATCCTGTTCGCCCAATTTCTTGTTCGCCCAGAGTTCGTTTGCCCAATTTCTCGTTCGCACAGGGTCTGTTCACCCAGATTTTAAGTAGAATATAATATAATGAATTTCTTTTCTACATTTTTTGGTACATTCGAAAAGAAAAAAAAAAAAACAGACCGTCAGACGATAGGGTCATATAGGCTACTAAATACAAGAAAGGCACGGGGGGTTGGCCTCTGCCATGGTTGATAGTTGAATTTTCATCTTCCATCTTCTTATAAATCATTTTTTGAGATCAAAGGGAGAATCTGAGATTCTTGAAAGGTATAACCTTTAGGATCCGCTGCTCAGTTCTATAAGGGACCTATTAACGTCTCAGTCCCTTAATTGTTGTCAAAACATAGCCCAAATCATAAAAACAACACGGGTTTATCCCCCCAATTTACATTGATAGTAGTTATCTAATTAACTATAGTGCAAACACTAAGTCATTAATAAATGCACTAGAATCAAATCAAAAATTAATTAAGATTTACAAATAAACATTGTTCCTGGTACAATACTTTGAGAAAAAATAACCCAAGTTCGTAAAGGAAATAAAAATATATGTTAATCTTTATTTGAAATAAGTTGATATACAATATATATATAAACTATTGGGCGAAACTTTTGTAGGGCGAACAAGATTTTGGGCGAAGAAATTTTTGGGCGAACGGACCCTGCGCGAATGGACTCCCGCGAACAGGTAGATAGGACGAACGAACCCGTTACCTTTTTATTAGGGGGCGCTTTGACTGGCTCCCGATATGAATTGCATGATAAATGTGAAAATCAAAACATTTCATTATTTATTTTTTTTAATAATTTGTCATTTTTTTTGTTTATTGTGTAGTTTTTGTATGTAATCGTGTATAAAAACATGAAAAATGGTCCATATCTCGAAAGTGCCAACATTTGACTACAATAAAGGCAAGATATCAAAATTTCATTCTTATTTTTCTTAGCATAATAGATACAAATTCATTTCCAAAAATCAAATTTTTTAATCATGCCGTTTCCGTAATTTCCAACCAGATTGAGCCTCGTTAATTGATGGCGTTATTTATTTTTTTTTTTAGTAGAATACAAGGAAGATAAATGACGCAGTTATTGCAACAGAGGAATTTCTGGCGATTCCTTCATATTTCAAAAATGAAATAAATACAGTGTCCAACTACAGTTTGTGAAATAATTACTGTAAAAATACCTACCGTTGGTGCAGCCATTCTTGATTCTGCCTTGTGTATGCAACACTGCAACAATAATATAACCTTGGCCTAATTTTCTTCTGCAAAGTTGTCATCCACAAAATTCAACCCTGAATATCGAGCCCGATGTATTTACCACCAAAGAGAGAGAGAGAGAGAGAGAGAGAGAGAGAGAGAGAGAGAGAGAGAGAGAGATTGCTTAACAATGGTTCGTTTTAGTTTTTTTTTTTTAAATATTGTTGTGCTGATTTTACAAAATGTCATTGAAAGATAATTTTTGAGAAAAAAGTCAAAATTCCCCAAATAGTTTTTCATGTTTGATTTTTTTTTGCCGTGGAAAGGGGGGGGGGGCGTGCTGTTGTAAATGCATGGATTTTTATCCCCACCTCTGAAAATTTTATGGACCCTAAATCACAATTGAATAATAGTTACATTTACTAACAATCTAATGCATAAAGAGTTCTAATTTCAAGGTAGTTTTATAGGAAGATAGAGTGATCTGCCCTTATAAGTGTAACCGCAAAAAAATGCTATAATTTACAATTAATTACACAATGTGTAATAGACTAGAATATGATTAGCATTATATTAAACCAAGAAAAAGTAATTGAATTCATAATTTTCTCTAGAGTAAGTTAACAACGATGTTTCTATTCCAACATAGTCCTTTGTCTTTGATAATTTTGCCTGCAGAAATAAGGCAGGTATCCCGTGTTGAAAATGAATTAAATTGTCTCAATACCTATACCTCTATGTGAATGATATATTGTTCTCCAAGTCCAAAAAGCACTTTTTGTCAGTGTTTAGAACTACCTTAAAAGAACAATTATAAGATATGTTCGTGAAACACTGAGGTCCCAGTATGGCAACTTATGGCAAGGGTTTATAAACGGTTCTATATAAAAAGAAGTTTTGAAATTGAAAAGTATTTACTAATAAAAAAAATTGAACAAAGAAAAATTCTATTCAAATTTAGAGTAAGTTCTCAGATTGAAAGTGGAGGATATGAAAAAAAAATTAATCACTGTAGGACAGCAAACCACCCTTGCAAGAAATGAAAGAATTTGTTGAATGTGTGACGTGAACTGTGTGGAAGATGAGATTCACTCATGTCCATTATATATAAACATGATATATAGAGATGACTTTTTTAAGATTATTGCTAAAAGTTATAAAAATTTCTATACTTTATCGAAATAGCGAATAATGCAATGTTAAAAACAGAAACAAATAGATGCTAAAGAGTAATAATAATGTTTATACTCTAGTAAATAAAAGACCTTATATGTACAATATGGCGATTATATATGTTGTAATCCGGAACTTCTGTATCATCATTAATCTTTTGTAAGTTGCTACTAATCAATTTTGTCTGCTAAACGGCTGTGTGATGCGAACAGTGTGTGTGTTGTATGTGTCTGTGCTTGTCACCCTCGCTTTCAGCTCCATTCCTGGCTAGCAGCTTGCTGTGAGAGAAAAGCAAAATTTTATTTGTAAGTCTTATCTGCCAGGTATAGCCTCTCCACAGTTAGACCTATGTGGCCCAGATATGGGATCCTCCTCGAAGTAGCAGATAGGAAATTGGGTACCTTACGGCCTCAAGCAGAACCACAGGGTCTTGGAGGAGACTAAACCCCTAAAGGCATGCATGGTACACCGGCGAGTGGATATGCCCTGGTGCCTGCAATCCTAGTTCCCAGTAAATTGCAATGAACTACTGCCTTGTAGAAACCTTTGGGAGAGGGAAAGGCTAAGGAGTAAACCCTACAGAAATCCGGAGTACCACAAGGCTGTTGGTATAACCACACTTCTGGCAACTCTGACCGTGCCACAGAAATTGGCCGTCCAGGTTGGGACGTCAGCCCGGAAAGGCAGCTACCTAGCTAGGAGAAGATAAACTCTTACTAAAAAGATCACGGGCAGATCTAGACTCGTTAGCCATGTAAAGCCATAGATCTAGAAGAAGGAAACCATAAACAAATTAACTTGGTCCTCCAGGTTGGGGGTTGGGCGTAGGGCTAACGACCCTGCCCTGTGAAAGGAGAAAGTTACGGAAGCAGCAACAAGAAAAACCTTTACTACATCGTGTGAAAGGCCTTCCGAGGTAAATGAGACTCGATCGTATGAATGCTGGCAATCAAAGCCATAAGGACCTTACCAGCAGAATGGGGGAGGACCTGAACACCACCAAACCCAAGCTCAGACTAGGGCATTGGAATGTGAGGACAATGTATGAGACGCTGGCACAGGTAACATCTGAGATGAGACAGTTTAATCTACATGTCCAAGGAGTTAGAGGAGATGGAATGGATCTGGAAAGATGAGAACTACCACAGGAGAAACCGTGCTTTACTCTGGTAGAGATGACAACCTACACCGTGAAGGAGAGGCCATCATACTCAGGAAAGGTGTAGAGCGGTGTCTGTTGGAATGGAAGCCCATAAATAATACCGTATAAGTGGAAATTTTAGCGAGACGCAAATTTAGCGATTTGCCTTGAAAAACAGGTAATTTATTTTTAGCGAGATGTTATTTTAGCGATCTTGAAATGAATGTTAAAGAAGTCATAACAAATAAATTGCGATCAATTTTTAGCGATATTCAATTTTAGCGATCTCCGTACCCTCGCTAATAATGCCAAAATTAAATCCTCGCTAAAAATTCTACTTATACGGTAGATTAATTAGTGCAAGATTAAGGGGCAATCACATCAACACCACAATAATACAATGCTACGAACCAACGAATGACAGTAACGATGAAGACAAGTTTAACTTCTATAGTCAGCTACAGGCTGAGACAGAGAAAAAACCCCACGGCATGACCTACTTGTCATCATGCGGGACCTCAATGCTAAGGTCGGAAAGGACAACACCGACTTTGAAAGAGTCATGTGAAAACAGAGGGTTGGGACCATTAACGATAATGGTGAAAAATTGGTGGTGTTCTGTGCTATGAACAACCTAGTGATAGGAGGAACTCTCTTTACACACCATGATATTCACAAGCTGATCTGGAACTCATCAAATGGAAGAGACAAGAACCAGATTGACCATTTGATGATCATGGAAGCAGGTGACCCAACTATACACTGAAAGCCATGGACCAACTTGTAGTTTAGGCACAGAAAGAAGCAGTACGGGGAGAGCAAGGGAGAGTATATAAGATCACGAAACGAATGTGTGGCAAATTTATAGGAAACACAGGAGGACCTATCAAAGACAGACATGGAACACTACTGACATCAGAAAAAGAACAGGAAGAGAGATGGGCTGAACACTTCCACGAAGTTCTTAATCGACCATTACCGATGAAGCAGTTGTCGTACCAGAAGCCACAGAGATTCTGGACATCGACACTGACCCACCAACTAAGGAGGAGATAATGAATGCAGTCAAGACTCATAAGAACGGGAAGTCGCCAGGACGTGACAATCTCGATGCAGAGCTATTTAAAGCCACCATGGCCTTGCTCTAATGTCTCACACACACCAGCATATTCAAGAGAATACCAACAGGTTGCAAACCTACGGACAGCAAGTGGAACTACGTATCAGTACAAATAAGACAGAGACAATGACACTTAATGTGGAATGACTTTTTAACTTTTTTCTTTGTCCTGAGGAAGGGACAGGGCGTCCCGAAAATTTGACAATTTTTAATAAATTTGACAATTTTTAATATATATATATATATATATATATATATATATATATATATATATATATATATATATATATATATATATATATATATATATATATATATATATATATATATATAGAAAGCACAAAGAAATTCACTTTTACATGGATACCCACTTCCGCCCCAGCCCGGGGTTTAACACTCAACCTTCGGAATCTGTCTCCTAGCAGTGCAGGAACAGCGTGCTAGACCGCTCGGCTATCTAGGCAAGTCAAAATAAACTTGCTTTCGATGCCGATGGAATTCTCGCGGCGCTGCCCTACACTACAGGGTCATTGAGAATAGAAGTGAGATACAGTTATTTGGACATTAGTGTTAACAGAGAATTGTTACCAATACATACATACACACATATATATATATGTATATACCAACACAGGTCTGGTAAAACTTCAGCTTGATGCTGGTGCCGTACTGTGCAGACCTCCAGATGTTATTCATTTCCCTAAATACTCTCCTGGTCTTGCCCAGTCTGCTGGGTATGTCCTCCTTTGTGCCGCCCTCTGGTGTAATGATACTACCCAGGTAAATAAAGTTATCTGTCTGGCGTAGTTCCTCCCCATTGACTTAAATAGGGGCAGGCAATTCCACATTAAGTGTCATTGTCTCCGTCTTCTTTGTACTGATACGTAGTTCCACTTGCTGTCCGTAGGTTTGCAACCTGTTGGTATTCTCTTGAATATGCTGGTGTGTGTGAGACATTAGAGCAAGGCCATGGTGGCTGCTATTCCAGGATCTGCTTTAAATAGCTCTGCATCGAGATTGTCACGTCCTGGCGACTTCCCGTTCTTATGAGTCTTGACTGCATTCATTATCTCCTCCTTAGTTGGTGGGTCAGTGTCGATGTCCAGAATCTCTGTGGCTTCTGGTACGACAACTGCTTCATCGGTAATGGTCGATTAAGAACTTCGTGGAAGTGTTCAGCCCATCTCTCTTCCTATTCTTTTTCTGATGTCAGTAGTGTTCCATGTCTGTCTTTGATAGGTCCTCCTGTGTTTTCTATAAATTTGCCACACATTCGTTTCGTGATCTTATATACTCTCCCTTGCTCTCCCCGTACTGCTTCTTTCTGTGCCTAAGCTGCAAATTGGTCCATGGCTTTCAGTGTATAGTTGGGTCACTTGCTTCCAGGTGTTGTCTACTTTGGCCTACTCATCTTCATCATATGTATCTTGCAAGATCTGGAATCTGTTTCTTAATTCGCTGATGAAGGCAACTTTCACTGTGTTGTATGAGTATTAGGCCTTACTTCAGTTTTTTTTTTCAGTTTGATCTTAATGAGTGCTGTCACCAGGTGATGGTCGCTGCCTACGTCTGCACTCTGCTTATCCCTAACATCTAATAGAGAGCGTCACCACATGCCAATGATCATCAAATGATCAATCTGGTTCTTGTCTCTTCCATTGGGGAATTAAATCACCATTACCATTATTATTTTTTCTTAAATTAATGCATTTCATTACCATTACTTTAGTAAAGTAATGCGTTACCATTACCATTACTTTTGGAGGTTTTTAAAAGTAGAAATTTATACAAACCTTTGTGATTTTTTTCATAAGCATGTATCCTCCCCTTTCAAAACTAAACATGATAGATAATTCAAATTTGATTTGAAGTTTTTGTGTATGTGACACTGTCAATAACAAACATTCACAGAATGTTCAAACTTTAAAATCGTCAGTTATATAATACATGTACATTATCCACTTGTTGTGTATTTATTTATGTCATGAAGCAATTTAACTTTTGGGCCACTTTAACCCCTGCCTAAAATATCTAATAATAAAGCATATAGGCTAATTTGATAAGTATCTTATGAAAAAAGTAAACACATTGACAAACTTTTTGAAAAAGTAGACAGAATGTACATTTTGATCTGCTACGCATAGAATGAATGCTTGCATGTTTTCTATTTTCTTTCAAATTGGTACATTGGATTTTACATGGTCAGTACAAGCTAGACCAGCTTAATTAATGTTTTATAAACACAGTCAGGAGAAAGTGACAGGTAATTCAAAAGGAGCATTTCTCCAAAAAATGCTCTGTTTTAATCGTTACATAACCCAGAGGCATAGTTTAGTTTTGATGGCACTTTAGCTATTCAAAGGGTGGCAATTATTAGTTTACACTGTACATTAATTAGTGTATCTCATATGGAATTTTTAAAAAAAAGATCTTTAAAAACTTTTATATAATTCTTTGCAATCTATTCTTATCTGAAATAAGTTTGAAAACTTAAATGTAAGGTAATTGAGTGTACTTTTGATAGATTAAAACGTGTAAATAAATAGATACAGAAATTTTATCTAAATAGGTTAAATTTTTTATTCAATTTCATCATTTGCAAAAAAAAAAATGAAATAAAAAAAAATAAAAATATAAAAGTATAAAAATAAAAAAAAAATAAAAATATATGAATTAAGAAAAATCTAAACAACAATTTCCATCATCCATGTCCATTTAAATTTCTTACAATAGGTACATACATGTACATAATAATGCTTTCTAATGCTATGCAATGCCAGTATTACACTGGATTTTATGAAGTAATGCAATGCATTACCATTACATGTATCGCAAAAATTTTTTGGTCATTACACATTACTAGCATTTATTTGAGTTCATGTAATAATGCACTGCAATGCATTATCATTACAATTAGCATTACCCAAGCCTGAAATCCATAATATTTATGAAATTTCGACGCCATTTGAATGAACGGGGTTCTCTGTAATTAGGACCTATTATAAATTTTTGGACATTACACATTACTAGCATTACTTTGAGTTCATGTAATAATGCATCGCAATGCATTACCATTACAATTAGCATTAGCCAAAACCTGGAATCCATAATTTTTATGAAATTTCGACGCCATTTGATAGAACGGGGTTCTCTATATTTAGGACCTATTAAGATAAGTGATCCAAAATTCTTCTCGTTGTCTACGGAAAGGAGTACTCAGTGACGGACTGTTTGTGTTGTGATAAATCTTTTCGAGAATTCTAACTTTCATAGACAAAATAGAATGATCAGGTAAATTAAAATATTTGTATAAAAGCTGCTGCCCACCATGATTTATTTGAAATCGATGATCTGATATTCTTTTATTATGTGATCCCTCGGTTTTACAAACATAAACAAGTCCAAAAAGATTACTCTATATGCCATAGACACCATTAAAAGATATGCA